TTCTGTTGGAAAATTTCAGAAAGATGCTGATAAACTTATTTTGTGACACAGATTATTTTCTTGTTTTAGGCGCGAAATATATTCTTACTCTTAATGCTTGACGTAACAAAATTTGTATAGAATTATATTTAACTAAAGCTCAGCGTAAATATGCAGAAGCATGACAATACATTAATGATAAAATGTGTAAATATTTCTGTAAAAGAATATAATTTTACTTTACCAGTTTACTTCACTTAGAATTACATTTGAGCGCAAGAAAATCTCTATGTGAATCGGCTGAAGGTTACCTCGGCTGAATCCCGGGGTCGAAATTCAACATATCAACGGAAATTTTTGCGTGTGCTTGCGTTGCTTTAGATCGAGGCCACAGCTTTTCAACCAATCGGGGAATGTTTACTTGAGGCATACATCTATTTTTACTGCAGGTTTCGACATGTTTAAATCGGGATTATAGAAAAATGGAATGTTGTTGGTAGATACAAAACAGAAAATAATGAACACTTTTAGCAAAAGATAAATTGGATCGGGGGTCTGTGAATTCACATTATTTGTACAACTCTCCTTACTCTTGGGAAGCGTGTGCTTTACATCGAGGCTTGCGTTGCTTTACATCGTGGCTTGCATTGCTTTACATCGACGTCATAGTAGTTCAACCAATCGGGGAATGTTTATTTGGGGCATACATCTATTTTTACTGCAGGTTTTGGCATATTTTAATCGAAATTAGAGACAAATGGAATGATGTTAGGAGATATAAAACAGAAAAAGATAAATATTTTTAGCAAAAGATGAATTGGATCGGGGTTCTGTGTATTCACATTATTTGTACAACTCTCCTTACTGATGGCAAAAAATGGAATTTCCGTGACCTAAATGGTTCGCGAAAATTAATATTTTTATATATAATTATATTGTAACAACGTATAAATACTTTAGCTATTTGACCAACGATGTTTAAAAAAAATTAACAGAATCAATCTAACGTCAACTTTTCCTTTTTTGAATGGAGACAGACCGGCGGAATAAATTTTCAATGTGCTTTATATCTTGTACCTTTGCGAGACTTATCATTCATTCATAAACCCACTCTAAACCAGAGACATATATACACATATATATGTCTGTCTAAAATGACAAGAATACTCCTAAAGCGGACAAGCAGTATATTCTTTAAATTTCTGTGATACCAAGAAAGAAAAAAATCCCGGAATTAATTTGATACTCAATATTTTTCCTGGAAAATATTCACATCCTCATTCGGTCTGAAAATAAGATAAGAATTTGATATACAGAACATGCAGAAGTGTGAATGTCATAAAACCTTGTTATATCAGAAACCATTATAAATGTGAACCTGTATACGTAAGACCTCATGGGATGTCACCTAACCACATACAGGTAATATACAATATATCTTACAATGTATATGTTCTTGCCCAAATAAAAAAAAAAGATAAAAGAAAGAGATGAACGGTAAGTCACATCAGGTTCAGATATTTATATAGTTGATTGTCGTTAACTAGAGATGCATACATGCCGGCCTCTGCGTTAACTTATAAAAATAACAGGAAAATATAAACTTGAAATAAATTAATGATGAATACTATGCAACTGCGGCACCCCTTTTTATCACAGCGTACATGCATGTATTTTAATGACTGTCCGTTATTTCGATTAAGAATGACAAATGTACGTAAAATCCTATAGTTGGTGAGACTTTTCTACCAGATATACGACTTTTCGTATTTATATTTTCTCTTATATTACTCTCATTTAATATTTTATGCATAAGTGCAATATTGGGAATGGTTTATTCCCCCACAAGCTAACTAAATAAATTAATCAACCCCTAGCTTATCAGACGTTAATACAACTACTATCAGTCTATCCGGAGTGAAGTTTCTTTATTTCTTCAAATATAGGCTTTTTGGGGATCATTAGTGTACTTCCAGTGGCATATATATAAGGTAAACGGACAGAAAGTCACAGGACATAACAATCTAATTAAAATATAGATCTCGGATTTCGTTATACTACGTTATACTACATACGAAGATCTAACAAGTACCCTACAAGGTTTCACTTTTGTGACCTTATATAACGTAATATTAACCCCAGAAAGTATTTATATCGACCAATCAGAATGCTCCTTATAAACGCGACCTAGGAACATGTTGAAGATGGCGACGTAGAAATGGAAAAACAACATAGAAAATGCATTAACTGAAATTTTGCCTTAGTACAAAGTGAAAGAATTGAAATTTGAGAAGAGACAAATTTTGGAAATCAAAGATTGCATGGTCAGGCTTCCAACATGCTTCAAACGGGCTATGGAAGAGTTTACATACCAGATATCTGCTACCCGATAATCAAGTCAGCATTCAAAGGTAAATTCTCGAAAATAAGAGTATTAAAGGTTGACATTTTTCTATCATTGGGCAACTTCTCGAGTGTTTATTAAAAAAAATCATTGTGGAGGATTCACAGTGTACTTTAAAAAAACATGACAATATCCCAGAAAATACATTGCAAGTCTTCATTCTCCTACCAAAAAATTATAATTTACAAAGTCAATGAAGATATGGGATCAGATAAATCTAAATTCATTGGTAATAGCAAGGACGTATATGTTAGTTATACATCCTTGGTAATAGTATATAAATCATAATGTCATCTTATTAATGATATTCTACTGTGTACTTGCAAAGATATACATGTATACTTATGCCAGCACATGCAGAAGAAGTTTTAATATCAGCATACTTTTTTTACTTCTGTCACACACTGATACATGTTGATATCATGTGGTGCTCCAGATAATTGTTAGGGGAAATTTTCTGCCAAGAAAGAAATTAATTGTTCACTATTCTTGGACTTGGCTACAGTGGGTCAGAATGGCAATTAGTGTTTCAGTGTTCATTAGATATTAGCTTAATGCTTTGTGAGAAAAATAACTTCATCCTGTTTATGTACATATAAAAAAGAAGATGTGGTATGATTGCCAATGAGACAACTCTCCACAAGAGACCAAATGACACAGAAATTAACAACTATAGGTCACCGTACAGCCTTCAACAATGAGCAAAGCCCATATCTCAAAGTCAGCTATAAAAGGCCCCGAAATGACAATGTAAAACAATCAAACGAGAAAATCTAACGGCCTAATTTATGTACAAAAAAAATGAACGAATAACAAGTATGTAACACATAAACAAACGACAACCACTGAATTACAGGCTCCTGACTTGGGAATGTGGCGGGGTTAAACATGTTAGCGGGATCCCAACCCTCCCCCTAACCTGGGACAGTGGTGTAACAGTACAATATAAGAACGCACTATAAAAATCAGTTGAAAGAGGCAAAAAGTGTTACTTTAACCGTTCCAGAACAAATGGTAAAATTTCTGAATTTTTCGTTTCCATTCTCTAACTTTTAGTTTGCCTCAACCAAATGTTATGAAACTTATACACAATACTTATTACCAAAAAAACTCAGATCAAGCACAAATTTGGGTAGCATCACTTTTACCGTTCTTCAGTTATGTCGTTTTATAACTTTATATGATCTGCAAGAGTGGGCATCATTTGTGTCCTATGGACACATTCCCCATTTATTGTAGTCTTTTATACTCAAATATTTAGCTTTAACTACATGATTGAGTAACTTTGCAGAGGCGGATTTAGAGGGGGAGCTCAGGGGGCTCAGGACCCCTTTTTGGAAAAATTTGGTTGTTTATATAGGGAATCACTGAAGCATGGCTGTACAGGCCCCCATTATGAAGAAAATTTCTGGGTTCGCCACTGCTTTGTTTTCATTTGTAACATTACTAGTATAAATAATTTTGAAGACTTGATTAAGTAATTATGCTCTTGACTGATAGAATACTCTATCTTTAAATTCAACATGTCCAATACATATACTTGATCAATATATAGAAGAACAAGACAGACGAGGCTATCTCTATCATAGTACATACATGTATGTTAAATTGTTCAGAAAACAACCAACCATCAAACAAAATCAATAGGTATCTTATAAGATTAATGTCTGGAAATGATGATGCTAAACAAAAAGTAAAAAATGTGAAATGAAATGAAATACAAGTTTAAAGATTTGTGTACAGATTCTGATAATAAATACATGTAGGTACAAATTTGATTAGGGAATCCACACCTCAAGGACTAATCCCAAAAAGGATTACTCAAGGGCCAGTGTTTTTATTTCCCCAAAAAATGTTCAAAGATAAGAAGATGTGGATCCTAGAAATGGATTCACAGTATCAATTTATAAATTTACTTTTAGATAACCTACGTGTATATCTGTAAGTAACATTTATTTAAGGACAATAAAACATTCTGTCATTAACCAGAGGAACATATCAATTAAAATGTGTTTGAATAAACACTAGTATTTAGTAACAGGGTATGTACATGTAGGTAGGGAAATCCTAAACAAACATGCATGTACATTTTTTCTTCATCTTTTAGTCTGGAAAAGCTAGTGATAATTATTAAAGAAAAAAATTAAATGAGTTCCTCTGAAACGGATGTTAAATAATCTTAAATAAGCTTTATAATGGAGTCAGCATTGTTTTGAAATCAGAATATTCCATAAATATATTTAAATTGATATTTCAGGAGCAGACATTCTTCCCTGGTCTATATAGCTTTATTGAAAGGAATCAGACACAGAAAGTTTGGGGAAATGAAATTGAGAGTCATTGTGAATAATTCACACACATGCTAGACATAAAGAAATGGCCAGACAGGCTCAGCTATAGAATCTGTATCAACTGGAAGCAACAGCATTTTCATCAGAAAACTAAAAAGGATGTGAAAAACATGAAACATGCATTTGGAAATGTTCAGCCGCCAAACAAATAGATATGCCAGGAAATGCAAATTGTTTGCTAATATAAATGTCAATGATGTCTGTACAAAAGCAAAGATATAAAAGCCTTTTTCATTTATACATGTAACAGTCATATACAATACAGATTTAAGACCATCAGACAATCTTTAAATCTTTGGAAGCCACAGTACCTAGTCCAAGACATTCCATATTTTCAACTCGTTATGAAGACATATTTGACCAATTTGGTTTCCAATAGAAGTTTAAAAATAAGTTCTACATGTACATGACATGATGATCACCAGCAATGAAGGTGATATAGGATATAATATTCAAAGTAGAGAAGTATAAAGTGAATTTGAACCTCCCACCATAATAGCATTCTGCACATTTTGGATCACATATGGATCAAGCTGTTGTACTTGTGAACTAAAAGATTGTTGCTTGTTTGTTGTCAGGTACATTGTACATGTTGACAGTGCTATACGTTCATTAAATAAAATGCAGTTCAGAACAGTTATATTTTAGTAATAGATAGATTTCTTCTGTCTTTATTTGAACAGATAAACCAGATAATTAAAAAAAAAAAATTCTGACAACTATGTCTGTTCTGGAACTGAAGACTACATGTACCTTCACTTTTTGTATCTTCCTTGTTCATTTTCCTCCAGATAAATTACTGACTATCACCATGAGGCTTATAACATGTATAAGTAGGCCTAATTCCTCCAAGGTCTCCAGTTATGTCCTGTCTGTGACAAAAGTTTCAGAATACAAGACATGCAAAACATGAAATGCTAATCGGACAACAACATTTACTATTTATATGAAGTTTTATATTTCAGAGGGTAGAAATCATGGATTTGTCATTCTTAAAATCATAATCATGATAATGTATAAGGAATCCTTATGTTTAGAAGTTTCTGTCAAGACATTTGTCCATTGTCCTTATTCCCTTTTCATTGTTCAGTGCTCCTTAAAAAACTACATGTGTAGTGATTTTATCAAGTGAATTTGTGGCATATTATAAGTAATACGATAACTATATTTGGTATACATGTATGGGATCAAAGGTTTACATGTACATGTGTTGTCAGACGGGGTTCAACTTGTCTCTCAATTTTTTGTCGAGCCCCGGGTTCTCACTAAGGCGAGTCCTGGACTCATCATAATCAGTCTGGACTCATCATTTTCAAAACTTGCGAGTCCCAAGATGCATGAAAATTGTAAAATGTTGTATCAACTGAGCACATACATGTATATCACAATTTTATCACAAAAGTTAAAAAATAATCTAAATTTTGTGTAATTAGGGATAGTGATTCGGCGGCGTTAACTCACTTCTTAAAAGCTTAATATTGCAGAAGGTAGAAGATCTGGATGCTTCATACTTTGTATATAGATGCCTTATGATATGAAGTTTCTGTCAGTCATACGTCTATTGTCATTGACCTCATTTTCATGGTTCAGTGACTACTTGAAAAAAAAGTTCGGATTTTGTTTCATGGATCAGTGAATAAGGTTAAGTTTTCATGGTCAAGTCCATATCTCAGATACTATAAGCAATAGGTCTACTTTATTTGGCGTACATGTATGTAATGATTGTAAGGTGTACATGTCCAGCTGGCAGGTGTCATCTGAGACCTCATTTTCATGGTTCAGTGGTACTAGTTTAGTTTTTGTGTTTTGGTCTGTTTTTCTAATACTGTATGCAGTAGGTCAACTATATTTGGTGTATGGAAATATTTTACAATGTACATACATGTATCAGTCTGGCAGGTTTTATTTGACCTTGACCTAATTTTCACGGTTCATTGCTCAATGTTAAGTTTTTGTGTTTTGGTCTGTTTCTCTTAAAATTTAAGCAATATGTCAACTATATTTGGTGTAAGGAATGATTGTAAGGTGTATGCATGTATGTATGTCTGGTAGGTATCATCTGACCTTGACTTCATTTTCATGGTTCATTGGTCCATATGGAATTTCCATGGTTTGGTCTGTTTGTTTTATACTACAAGCAATAGGTCATATATATTCTGTGTATGGAATGATTGTATTAAAGGTGTACATGTATTTCCGCCTTGGTTTATCTGACCTTGACCTCATTTTCTTGGATCATAAATGTTAATGTGATACTTGTAGTAAAACTTTATAAGTAGGACTATCAACATAAAATCAATGGTCAGTATAGTAGGCGAGACATTTCAGCGTGTGCACTCTTGTTTCAACTTATAAGTCTACAGATATCTAAATAAAAAATTAAGGTATATACATTAGGTAAAAATAAAAGACGGTGTTCATGTGACCCCAACCTCATTTTACCCATCAGTGATTAAGGTTATTTTTTTGTGCAAATTAATATATATTGTGGTTAATTCCATTTCTCAGATTCTACACAATGTATATAAAGCAGTAGGTTAAAGTTTACATATGAACAAGAAGAGATACTATACATGAAACGTTTATATATATGTTAATGATGATGATGATGATGATGATGGATAGCTGCTTACAGTCCAGTGGCAAATTAATATGCATATTCAGGACAAGAATATGTTTATGTGATGTGAATAATAACCCTGCTTTGTAATAGACCGACAGCAACTAAAATAGCAAAAAATAATTAAATGACATCTAGAATGCAACCTACATGTATATATAAGGCTTCAATAGAAGGAAAGGCAATTGTCTATGCAATATGTCAAGCTCTAGTCTTTAATGTGTCTATAAAAGTAGTGAATAAATTCAGCAGAAATATCTTGTTCATTGTGTCTGTGATAATCATTCATGTACATGTACATCACATCACTGCATGTACAAAAATGTACCACATCTATTTTATATAGATCTGTCATATGCATTTAATACACAATTCTAAAAATAAAAAAATAAAAACTATAGGCCATGCAACATGTACTACAAGTATACAACAGGGTTTATACTTGGTACAGGCACATGAAATGTGATTGAATTTAATGAAATAGTTTTTGTGTCACCTGAGACCATTGTTGTAAAATGTGACACTAAGGGATTACAATCAGCATAATCGTACAGCAGCATAAACTATTTGAATAAAGTTTGATATTTCAGAAGATAGATGACCTGGATGTTTTATACCTTGTACACAGATACATTTTTGTGTACCTTATATGTGTAGTCACTAAGTTTCTGTCCAACAAATGTCCATTGTCCTTGACCTAATTTTTATACGACCGCAAAATATTTTTGTGGTCGTATATTGGTATGACGTTGGCGTCGTCGTCGTCCGAAGACACATTGGTTTTCGCACTCTAACTTTAGTTTAAGTGAATGGATCTCTATGAAATTTTACCACAAGGTTCAATACCACAAAAGGAAGGTTGGGATTGATTTTGGGGGTTATGGTACCAACAGTAAAGGAATAAGGGGCCAAAAAGGGGCCAAAAATAAGCATTTTTGTAACTTCCAGACATAACTTGTGTGTTAGTGTATGGATCTCTCTGACATTGTACCACAAGGTTCCATATCACAAAAGGAATGCTGGGATTGATTTTGGGGGTAATTGCCTCAAAATTTTAGGAATTAGGGGCCAAAAAAAGGGCAAAAAACAAGCATTTTTCTAGTTTCATGACAATAACTTGTGTTCAAGTGTATGGATCTCTCTGAAATTGTACTGCAAGGTACCATACCACAAAGGGAATGCTGGGATTGATGATGGGGGTAATTGCCTCAATATTTTAGGAATTAGGGGCCAAAAAGGGGCAAAAAACAAGCATTTTTCTAGTTTCAGGACAATAACTTGTGTGTAAGTGTATGGATCTTTCTGAAATTGTACTAAAAGGTTCCATATCACAAAAGGAAAGTTGGGTTTGAATTTGGGGGTAATTGCCCTAAACGTTTAGGAATTTGGGGCCAAAAAGGGGCCAAAAAACACATTTTTCTAGTTTCCAGACAATAACTTGTGTTCAAGTGTATGGATCTCTCTGAAATTGTACTGCAAGGTACCATACCACAAAGGGAAGGCTGGGATTGAGTTTGGGGGTGATTAATCATAAGGGGGTTCAAAAAATATGGGGGGGGGATATTTTTTTTTTCCTTTTTTTTTTCTTTTAAAATTTTCCATTTTAAGTTGGTTATTTCTGATTTATATTTAAAAGCAAATAATAATGATATGGTAGGAGATACACACCAAAGAGGATGTGTAAATTATTATATAATAAGTATTGTGCAATAGCAAGAAATTTTCAATTGCACAGTATTGCACAATAGCAAGAAATCTTCAATTGCACAGTATTGCGCAATAGCAAGAAATCTTCAATTGCACAGTATTGCGCAATAGCAAGATATCAAATAGCACAATATTGCGCAATAGCAAGAAATTGTCAATTGTACAGTATTGCGCAATAGCAAGAAATATTTAATTGCACAGTATTGTGCAAAAGAAGATACTTTGTATAAATTGCTTATTTCTTGACCAATTTCAATGGGGTTTTATTCTTGAATTCTTGGGGTTCTTTAATATGCTGAATCTAACCGTGTATTTAGTTTTTGGATTTTGGGCCCCGATTTTAAATTGGTCCACATTGAGGTCCAAAGGGTCCAAAATTAAACTTTGTTTGATTTCATCAAAAATTGAATTATTGGGGTTCTTTGATATGCCGAATCTAACCGTGTATTTAGATTCTTAATTTTTGGTTCCGTTTTCAAATTGGTCTACATTAAGGTCCAAAGGGTCCAAAATTAAACTTAGTTTGATTTTAACAAAAATTGAATTCTTAGGGTTCTTTGATATGCTGAATCTAATATGTATTTAGATTTTTGATTATGGGCCCAGTTTTCAAGTTGGTCCAAATCGGGGTCCAAAATTAAACTTTGTTTGATTTCAACAAAAATTGAATATATGGGGTTCTTTGATATGCTGAATCTAACCATGTATTTAGATTTTTGATTTTTGGGCCCCGTTATCAACTTTGTCCACATTGAGGTCAAAAGGGTCCAAAATTAAACTTTGTTTGATTTCATCAAAAATTGAATTCTTGGGGTTCTTTGATATGCTGAATCTAACCATGTATTTAGATTTTGGATATTGGACCATAATAGGTGAATGTCCAATTTAAGATTTTTAAGTTCTTAGACCACATTCATTCTGTGTCAGAAACCTATGCTGTGTCAAATATTTAATCACAATCCAAATGCAAAGCTGTATCAAGCTTGAATGTTGTGTCCATACTTGCCCCAACTGTTCAGGGTTCGACCTCTGCGGTCGTATCAAGCTGCGCCCTGCGGAGCATTTTATTATGGTTCAGTGACTGCTTGATTAAAAATTGTTTTTTTTTCTCATTTGAAATTTTCACTTTACAAATGTATTATGGTCAATTCTGTATCTCAGATTCTATAAGCAATAGGTCAACTATATTTGGTGTATAGAATAATTGTTAGATGTACATATGCATTTTGGACTAGCAGTTTTCATCGAACCTTGACCTCTTTTTCATGGTTCAATCTTTAGTTGTTGTGGTTAAGTCTAGTTCTCAAACTAGCAATTAGGCCTCTACATTTGGTGTATGGAATGATTTTAAGGTGAACATGTCCGACACAGGCATTTTTTTCTGACGACCTTTTTCATGATTTATTATTTATGATTTTGGTCTATT